GGATAAAAAAAGTATAAAAAATAATTTAAAAACTAAAATTGTTCAAAATTAAAAATTTATATACCAAAAATTGACATCTAACCCTTTACAGCACTGATCAAATGAGGGATTCTGTTAATCCAACTAGAAGGCATGATTATGTGACACCAAAAAATGGTGGTTTATTTGAGACTGACATCTGCCATGACGACTGAACTTTAAAAACAAAACATGGTCCCTTTATGATCATTGGAAGTGACTCATAATCGCATTGGTTCAAAGCCTTTAAATTATCTTAATTCAAAGCAGCCATTGTACTAGCCAATCAGGCAATGCCATTATGCTATGCTGAGTAAGCCCTTCTTACACTAATGGGAGTAAAGGGGGAGGAATCTTAACTCCAGATACCTTGCATTTTTCATGCAAATTGGGTCGCAATCTGAAACCCTGTTATTTGTGGTGATGACAACCTCATCATATTCCCATACTTCTTTTCCTATCCACAACTATATGATTTCTTTTTAAATGAAGACAATAATTAAAAACGTGTCCTTTATTCTTAAACGTTTGTATTGTATTGATATAGAAAACTAATTCTCTAAAAATAAATAAGGAGAAAAAGAAGAAGAAGAAGAAAGTGTTCACTGTATTCTATTTCTAGGAGGTCATGAATCTTGACTCCAACACGCACTTCAATTTATACACCCCACAAATGCAGAGTTAGGTCGAGATTTGGTCGTATAAAATATACAGCATTTATTTAGCAGCAGTTAGCCATAAATTTTTTTCATATCCTCCATGACATCAGGAAGACCACAAACTACAAACCCAACAATGCCAACAATAGGCCTCTGTGGTGGACTAAATTTCTGCCACACACCATAGCAAGCTCAAGAGAAAAAACAATTATGCTCTGTTTAGGAACATGAATTTGAGAAGATATATTTGAATTTAAACACTTTAAATTCAATATTACTGTTTATTTTTACCGAAACAAAATGTAATTGGATTTAAGTAAAATACATGCATTTTACACAGGGTATTTCACAAACTTAAAATCCGTATATTTCAAATTTATTCTTAAACCCATGGATTTCAGTTTCAAACCTTGTATTTTCTCCGCGTTCCGACGACGATGAAGCCTCCACTTCCATTCATCGTCGACCACACCACTGCTCTCTCACCTTCTTGTCATCGCCTACAACTTGAGTCAATTTTCTGGTCAATTCGCTAATTGGTATCATTTTGTACCGGAGATCTAAGCTTGGCGATGAGCTTCGACAAGTACCAAATTTTTCTGGGCAATTTGGGTTTGGTTTCTTGCAAATAAAGAACTGAAGATTTTTTTTTTTTCTATCATTGTGATGGTAAGAAAGCTTTGGTTCATCTTCTTTCTTTTTCTCTTCTGCATCGTTTTCTTCGATAGGCGTTTAAATTTTTTTCTTGCTTTTTGTTTACTTTTTATTTTTTAATTTTTTTTGCTGGTTCTTAGATTCTCTATTTTCTTGAATTTGATTTTATGCATAGCAAGGGTCTTGTTTATGTGTTGATTTTGCTTAAATCTGTTTTGACTCAACCCTTTCTTTTTAGTATTTGAGAGATCCTTATGGTTATAATTTTTTTTCCTTTATTGGATACTCCTTATTTTAAGGCGATATCTCAAACATGAGAGTTTTGTATTATTAGCGTCTTTTGTTTGTTTCTCAAGAAAGTTGAGGAAATTTTGAGGGAAGAAAATATATGGGTAGGCTTGATTTCCTTGGCAGTTTCTCTCTTTTTTTTCTCCGTTTTTAGAGGGACATGAAAGAGAATTTAATTATAAATTGTCCTATATCTCTTTTAAAGGAAATACTAAAAGGTTAGTTGTTATGTAAAAATAGTTAAATAGAGGAAGTTTTTTCTCTTTTGCTATACCAAATTTTTAATCAATTCTAATGTTTTAATTGAAGAGGATAGCAATATTATGATGATTTTTTTTTATTTAAAAAACTATAAATATTTGAATAATCACATGATTTGATTATTGGAAACTTACATTCCTAATGATATTTAATTAATGTTTTAATTGGTTTGTTTTGAGACAATTTAAATAATGCTTTGAAAGATCAAAATTATTAACACTAGTTTTATGAAATTTAAATGATAATTAAAAGAAGATTTAATTTATGAGAAAAATTCAATTTTAAATGCATAATATTTTAATATATCCAAATAATGTATTTAAAAATACATACATTTAAAATTTTTTTTTTATTCAATCCAAACAATGTATTTTAAAATATATGCATTTCAAATACATATATTTCAAATAAATATATTTAAAATATACACTTTAAATACAAATATATGTTCACAAACATAACCTTAATGTATAATAACCAAAGAGATAGGTAACATCGTTTTTAATTACTAACTTAATTATTCTTAATCATCTTGATTTATTAAGCATTGCTTCAAGCAGTGACTGATGGAGGGCTGTCCTCATCCTATAGTTGTTTCACCTAATCAATCTAACAGTTGAATGATATATATATACATATATGTAGTGGTATATATTTATATTTTTTGTATTTACGTACATGTGTTTCTGGATTAAATTTTATACATTGATTTAATGTATTTAAAAAATTAATTTTTTTAAATATTTACTCTAAAATTTAAATATTAAATCTAATTTAGAAGGTATACTTGTTTACAAATTAATTTAACTCTTTGAAATTTATAATAGTATATACTAATTAAAGAAGCAAAATCAATTTAGTACTGCTGCAAAATTTATGGTGTCTGTACTAGGCTGCTGGCTTTTGTCAAAATGATAGAGATGAACCCAGAGTTCGTATGCATTTCCCCTACCCCAGAGAAGAGGCAGCTCTACCCCGCCGCAGATGACTATGCTTGATTCTCAAGAGAAAATCAGACCCTGTACAGGTGACAGAGCAAAGAAAATCACTTAGCCATCATTGCAACATGTTTCAAGCTAAGATAATCTAAATCCATGTACACATTTATAACGGTGAAGTTTATACAATAGTAATGATAATGATCCAGCCAGGCATTGCCGGTTTGGTACTTGATTTTTTTTTATTAATCTCTTTATATTTGATAAATATATCGAATAATAAATATATTGAATTCTAATTAATATGAAATCGAGTTATATAAAATTTTATTAAAATTTTTTTTAATGTCTATTTATCCATTCATAATAATTGAATTTAAAATTTTATTTAAAAAAATTACATTCATTTTATTGGATCAACAGCATATTAGTCAATTTTTTTTTTTTTTTTAAACAATGATCATGGGGTGGGTCGAACCCACTCAAAGGAGAGAGATGCACTTTTGATTGTGACAGTTACCACTAAGCCAGATACCAGGTGCGCATATTAGTCAATTTAGTACTTAATGGAGCAGAGAAAAAAAAACACAACCAAGTATTGCTAATGCGGCTGTGGTGTGACACGGAGCCCTTTGATTTAAGTGTAGTTATTGTCCTCACAAAAAGTATTAAACGTTATAAATTTTCCTTTTCTTTTAAAATAATTAATATTGAAAAACATTAATTTATTGATTAATTTATTAATTTTAATTAATTATTAATTATTTTTATCAATTAAATTAAATTAAATTATTATTTTTAAAAATAAAGTTTTACATTTTTAAAAATAATCTTAACGTCTTACCATATCACCCGCCTACCGCTTGACACAAGTTCTTATGTAGACGTTGTTTTGAGTAGAATTTCAAAAATTTTGTCATGGCATGCATCTCCTAGCAAACAATTCTAATAAGCAATACTCGTCGATCTAAGGTTTGCCTGCTATTTACAAAGCGCTTTACGGGTGGTATTTCCTAATCAGATTATTAGAATTTCAATGTATTTTAGTCCATCTTTGCCTACTCTCTCTTTGCTCTAATATTGGCTTAATCCTTTTTTATTTTAATTACATAATATAAGATAATTTTTTTATTTTTTATACTACTTTATTCATATATCATATAATTTAATATCAAATTTTTTTATTTTTAACAAAAAAAAATTATTATTAAATTATTTAAATTGTGGATAATACTTGCTCATTTTTTTTTTCTTCCATACTTCACAGATGCACTATTTTTCACGTAAGATAAGTGGAAATGGTTCCCACAGTACAATTCTTTGGGTATTTTTTGCCATCCATCTTAATAATTGAACTTTCTTTTTTTTACAAATTTCTTAATATTTGAAAATTATATTAGACTTTAATTAATTTGAAATCAATCATATTGAATCCCATAATAGGAAAGCTTTCCTAACAGTTTTTTTTTTTATTGGGAAATGCTATTGGACAATTTTTTTGTTCAATTTTTTTGTTCAATTTTTTATACAACTTGACGTGTCATTAAAATGATTGGTTCTTTTAATTTATGTGAAATTTATAATATTAAATGCATTCACTTATTTAATAACACGTGAAAATTGTATAAAAAAGTGTGACAAAAAAATTGTCCCAATAGCACCACCATTTTTTATTCAAAAGACTTAAATTTAAAATTTTATTTAAGAAAAGTCAAATTTTTTTTTGTTAAACCCCCAATTTAATCCCTAAACTATTGTATGGATTATTGATTTGACCCCTGAACTAAAAAAAATCTTTGATTTGATTTCTAAACTATTATACAGACCCTTGATTTAGTTCATACTATTTATTGATTTGGTTCATACTATTTATTGATTTGGTCCATACTATTTACTGATTTAATCCCAAGTTGATCCTTCCGTACAAAAATCAGTTTACATGTCTATTATTCAACAATGAAAAACAGTTACTTAACGGTTATGTATTACATTAATAATGAGTCACGTTAGTTGTTTTTTATACAGAATGACCAACTTAGAGCAAATTAATAAATAATAAAGATCAAATAAGAGATTTGTATAATAATTCAGGGATCAAATTAGAGATTTAACCAATTTTTTGCATTCAACCCAATAATTTATTAATTAATAATTGAACTTTTATTCAACACCAAACCCATCATCCTTTGGATCTATCTTTTTTTTTTTTTTGGTAGAAATCCTTTGGATCTATCACATTAACATTAATTGAACTTAGATTTATCTCTATCATTTTTAAAAATAAGATTTCTTTATCTTGTATCTTTAAGATATAGGATTTTAATGTAATAAAAATATTTTTTTATAATTAATTTTTATTAAAAAATAAATATTGATTTTAATTTAATTAATTAATCAATTAAAATAATTTATGTGTTAATAATGTTAAAATATATATCAAAATTTATAATTTTTAATGTAAATTAATTATAAAAATATATATTTACT